GGGTGTGTGTTTCTGTGAGGTAACAACACACCTGGATGACACCAGGAAGCCTTCCTCTAATCAAGGGTGACTTCACAGAGTCCTGTGTCCAAGCCTCAAAACATGTTAATGCAATTAAGCATTTACTTATACTGAAGACTTCTGCCTTTCCTATTTATACTTCAAATGGTGGGGGTTGGGGTTTTTTGTGGGTTTTTTCATTTTTTTTCACACACATTGTAGTTGTAAGAAAAATCCCAATAGATGGCAGGCTGAGTGTGTGCGTGTGGATTAAAGAGAAAGAAGGAAAACTAAACCACCTGGTTTAGTTTTTGCACCTCCAACTGGAGGGCAAATCCAAAACAGGGGCTACTTGGCAATGATTACGCTTTTGGAAAGACAGAAGTTCTGTGAGACTTTGTCATAGATGGGGAAACCAGCTTTAGTTGCTTTGCTCCTTCCCATCTCATCACCACAGTCCCTTTCTCCCTTACCGTGTGAGCCATCCATTTGGGGACCAAATTTGTCAGTGTGGTCACTGAGGGGGAAAGTTAAAAATAACCTCTGCTTTTTCCTAAGATTATTTTTAACCTGGAACAGTTAAATGATCTGGTTTACAGTGTTACTTGACGGACAGGTTGGGCCAACTGAGGGTGCAGATGGCTTTGGGCTTCACTGTCAGAGCGAGCATGTGATGGGATTGCACCTTCTAAATGCTTCATTTTTATTTTTTTTTTAATGAAATATGAACACTAAGTGCATGAAATCTGAGTTGTCAGCCTGACTGTTCTTGGTGTTGTGGGCACATGGATTAGATTAAAGCCAGCCGGCTGCGATTCTGCTCGGCGCTGAGAAAAGATAGGAGCCGTGAGCTACAGTGCTCCACTAATGGTGCTCCTTGATTTGGGAAAGTGCAGTGCTTGGTTTGAGAAATAATCTGTTTGTATGGAGAGAAAACAAGCCCTTCTGAGTGTAGTTACAGTAGAGGTCTTTCCATGCATCTCAGATCAACAGAGGTAAATCCATGGCAAAGGTACAGAGAAGGCGGCGCGCTCTTCCCAGGGCCAGGGAACCTTTCCTTTCGAAGGCTGGGTCACCGTGTTCCTGGCCCTCATACAGCCGCATGGAGGAGGACATGTGTGTCCAGTTCTGTCTGCCCAGGTCCGAATTGCACAGCCTCAGGGAGGACACACAGCTCTCTGCTTACGTGGCCCCTCTCCTTCAGCTCCCCTGAGGCCAGCTCATGTGTCGTTACCACGTATTTGATGGAAGCGGCTCTAAAGAAAGAAAAATCTCCAAGGTGGCTTGTCAGTTTAGGATGAGTTTTCACAAGCTGTCAGGTGTGTCATCCACATAGCAATTGTCAGGATAGAGATGTATTATCTCCTTGGTGTATTTATTATCCCTTTCTATGTGACTTGCTCAGACAGCAGTTGAATTGGTTACACCTAGTGGTAAGTATTAGAGTAGGTGATGAGCTAACGCAAAGCTAATGAAAGCTCTTATTTCATATTTACTGGATCACTTCTAGAACTTGCACGTATCTGGTCACGTCCCAGGCACCTTTTCAAGCCTCACTTTAGCTGCCTGTATCCACGCACAGGAAAGCCACCAGTAACAGCAGAGTGTTCCCATGAAGTTCTGCATTAGGCATCTGTTTTATGTGGGAAATGAACAGTACGAATGTATTTATTACCTATTTTGGGTATTATGCATTGAGTATTTATGAAATCCAGAACCTGTTTTTACTGTTCTTGCTCTGTATCTTCCATTGCTAAAACAAATGCTAATGCAGTCCAGCAATTTCACAGTACAGATCTCTTCATATACTTGTGCTTTCATTTCCCTTTTTAATTCTGCAGAAAGTTTGGGTACGCATGGATCCATTTACCTCAGCCACAGAATAAAATATCTAAAGTCAAACCAATCAGCTCATATGAGGTACAGCTGCTGGGGGGAAAGAAAAAAAGATTATTTCCTTTGGAAAATTGGCCTTTTTTGATTTTTTTTTTTATTTTATTTTGTAAATAAGAAGTACGAACACTTGTCCACTTTGAACATGCAGAGCTTCTCTGGTGCACTCAGATACAGGCAACAGCTGAGATACTAAACTGTGACCTAGTTCTTCCTCTAAAGAATAGTTGAAACAAAAGGCTTATTATCCACACATTTCTCTTTTTTAAAAAGTCACCTAAAGGGCAGTGAGTTCTTACTGATTTTCTTATTTTAAAACTCTTATTCTAATAATCTTGTTATTCTGAGAGGAATTCATTAGTAAAGAGTACGAACATTGTCCACTTTGAACATGCAGAGCTTCTCTGGTGCACTCAGATACAGGCAACAGCTGAGATACTAAACTGTGACCTAGTTCTTCCTCTAAAGAATAGTTGAAACAAAAGGCTTATTATCCACACATTTCTCTTTTTTAAAAAGTCACCTAAAGGGCAGTGAGTTCTTACTGATTTTCTTATTTTAAAACTCTTATTCTAATAATCTTGTTATTCTGAGAGGAATTCATTAGTAAAGTAACATATCCAAGCATTTGACTGGGATCTGATGAGTCATTTCACCTTACATGCTGAAACAGAAACCAGAAGATGCTGTCTGACTAGTTACTAGTCACGATGGTCTCAATTATTCAAATAACTGCAATAAGAAAAATAATAATATAAATTTTAAAAAACCTGAGAATGTTTTGTAACAAGCACTATTCCTAATACATAGGGAAAATAGCAAGAGGTTGGAAAGAAAACACATCATTTTTGTTAGAAAATTATGAGAGTCAAAACTTTGTCTCAGAGACAGAGTTACCACAGATTTTGTGTTTGTTTCCTAGTTCTGAAAAGAAAGTATTTTCTTATTTCAAAAGCAAACTAGAAGTGCGACACAGTTTTGGTAGAAAACTATTCGCCACCACCCCGGGCTTTTTGATGGCATGTCTTTATCTCCCTATATCTCTTAATTCCTGATTAACTCCTGATGCTTTTCTTCTTGCTCTCCCCTTTAGAGATATAAGCCCAGTTCCTCGATGTTTTTACCAGGGCGTGTGTCACGCTTGTAGGGAGGAAATACTGGATTCACGACAACTTGTCCCTGCATAGCAGGGTACTCCAGCCGTGAGCACCTGACGTGCACCTGAGGACTTCAGGGCCTGAAGGTACGTTGCTTCAACCATTTGCAATGACTTTTAGAATTTGAGGTGCAGTTACAAGGGGGGGGCCATGCTGTCCCTTCTTGTTCACACTCTCTCCCCGCACTTTTGGACGTAATTCCTCTCAAAGGCTCAAATTTCTTTCGTAAGACATACCAGCATCCTGGGCTTGTGTGCACTATAAATGTGATAGCTCTAGCAAAAGAACAAATACCTTAAAGCTACTGCCAGGCTAGATTTTGATTGCCTGTAGTCATCAACATAGCTATATAATTGGGAAGAACGTTATGATTTGACTCGTTATGCAACTATCTCCATAAAAGGAGGAAGTATTTATCTTCTTGGGAGGAAATTAGGTTGAGTAATAGCTGGTGCCGAACTGAATCACACAAGCTGGTGCTGGACAAAGTTACATAGCAAAGGAAGAAATCCCTATTAGGACAGTATATTACAGCGTCTTGCTGACCTACACATGCACCTTTTTACACCGTTGAATTTTCATAGTACTTTTCAGAATGCTTTCGGCATTTCAACCAGCAATATAGTTTCCAGAATGCTTTCGGCATTTCAACCAGCAATCAAATGATTACCACCTTGCGGTATAACGTGGAAGTCCAGAGTACCACTCAGGCTTCGTTTTCCTTCCTCTGACAGTGTCTGAAATGCATTAACCAGGAGTTGGTGAACTAGCAGTGCGTGTCACTATCGAACACTACCCGTCAGGAAACTGGAAGTCAATGCTTGCAGGCTTTAGAAAATGACTTAAGGGTAATGGTGGGAGGTACAGATTTGTGGGAAGATGTAGTATGAAGGGCAACAGGGTTTTAATATGCTCACCATGCTACGTGCGGGAGGGAGGCCTTAATTTTACATGTAGGTGAGATTAGAAACAAGATTGCATACTTTAGTTTGCGTGAAAGGGAAGCATGACATGAGCAAGCTTTTGTAGTCTCTTTCCATCTCCCTTTTTTCCTTTCCTCAAGAGCATTTAAAGGGAAAAATACCAGGCCATCCTAAAGCACTGAGCTGTGAACAGCACTCGCTGTGCTGCTCTTTCAGCTCTCCCAAACAGGGCTCTGCAGTACCTATCCATCAGGGCTATAAAAAATTCATTCACTGTCCTGCTTCGTTTTCATCTATTTTAAACATTTAGAGACCTACTTACGTGCCCTGTAAAACTTACAAGAATCACAGTGTTTGGAAATCTTTCTGATGAAGTACATGCCTTTTCCACTCAGGCTGGCTACTCTTCTGCTATAGATTACCATGAGAAGCATTTCACTGTCGTGAAAACCTTTGGGGGTGGGGTGTGGTGAATTTGTAGTCATTTTCATGCTTATTTATTATTCCTTTGTTATATTTACTCCTCACTATTTTTACTTTGTTAACATCCCACCATTCTCCTTCCCTCTCCGTTCCCAAGGCCCAAGACTGCAGCCAGCCGCATTCTGATGATGGGCAAACCTTGTCACGATCAGCAAAAATAATCAGCATTGGTTTGTGATGAGAAAAAGTCAGTAAATTAAATTCATCTAGTTCTGCTTTGCAGAAATAATGTTTTGTTTTATGGTGCTACAGCAGAACTGGAAGGCTTCATATCTGCCAGGTGTGTCCAGAGACCTAAGCCCATTCTGCCACCTCGGACTAGGACAAAGAGCCCGTCCCATCATCCTCCACGAGCAATTTAGCTTTCTTTTTCTGTAGTTAAAACATTTTAAACGCTTCTGTTTGGGTATAGATTGATCCGTAAAATCTAATCTATTTTAATGAGAAACTTCTATCCAAAATGGTCCTTTATCCGCAGATTATAAAGGTATCGGGCAGGATTGCCCTGTCACTACGTGTAAGACAGACACATCGGGGTACTTACCCGTTTCGGGACTGTGGGCTCGCAGCTTCAAAATCCTCTCTCTCTTCCTGACGTGAGGAGATCATACTTGAAGGGTAATCTTGAGTATCGTCCCTGAGCCCTTCTGCCTCCCAATAACCTTCTTCCTCGTGTGACAGAGGAGTCCTCTGGGGGTACACAGAGGTCTCATAAACTCGTGGCTTGTGCACTGAATCATCATGATGTCCATGATGGTCTGAGTGTTTGACCAGCTTTGCCAACCCTATTGTATTACAGATGAGCAAAAGCTTCACTAGCATGGTGGGTTTTTTCCCACCCAGTTACACCTGTCTCTTGTTCTCTTCTCTGAAGCGCAGCCTGGATTAATTCAGGAATGCCCCGGCGATGTTCTTTAACTGGAAAGTTGGAAGAAGGAAGGAGGAAAAAAAAAAAAAAAAGGATTTGTAACAAAGAGCGGAAAAAGCTTTCGACCCTCCCAGCTACTGTGGAAACGTCCGTGGCTATTGAACAATGTGAGTCTGGTTCCTGTGTGGGGCTCAAACGTCTCTGACAGAGGGGAAAAAAAAGGTGGTAGGAATATAGCTTATTCAAGGAACTTCTGAGCTTGGCTGCCTTCTAAACTTATCTGTGAACAGGAACTCGGCTTTTATCAACTGCCTTCTCCCTCAGGCACAGGAAAAGGATGTTAGCTTAAAGGAAAGGAAGAGAAAAGAAAGGAAAGAAAATATTAAGTGGTGTAACAGACTCTCGTTACGGTGCCAGAAAATGTCACAGACCTGCTTGCTCCAGTGTCTGCACATGGGGGTTTTTTTCCTACAATTTAAAGGCTGAAATACCCTGGCTTTAGCAGCAGAATATCCATGGAATGTATGACAAATTGTGGACATTAAGGGATTCAGAGTAAATGCACAGCAAAAAAGAGCTTACAAACATCCACTTTTGTGTGGCCTTTGCAAAGTAGCCCTGTGAATCATACTCTGTTCCCATCAAAGTGGAAGGTTTTCATGAAGCAGTCCTTCAGAGAAGTCAGGATTATTGAGCATTTTTAAGAATTTCTGTTTAGGTTGTCACCTCTGGATCTTATGCCTAATTTTTTTGTGCGTTTTTAATTAGTGTTACAAAAAACCACTTGCCAAGAGCTGCTGGAAAGAGCTACCTCCGTCACCACATCCTAATAATAATAAAAAAAAAGGCTGTGGAGGTTGGATGTAGTTTTCTTACTGGTTTTGCTTTACTTGATGGTGCTGCTTTTAGTTTTGTTGCTATGATAAACTGTATTTTTTTTTTTCACTGTCTTGCAGGGTGACGCACCCTGGCATTTTTAAGAATAAAATGAGGGAGAATGATGCTCCACTGACAAAAGAGGTGGGAATTCTGGTGCAGGACTGCTAGATCATGTCTCAGTTTGAATGATGAGATGCGCAGCCCAAAGTTCAGCACGTCCTGCAGAGCATTAAATGTAAAGCTTTTCTGGAGTCATTCCAACGCCAGCTGAAAAACAGAGAATAAAATCTCTCTAGGATTTTGGAAGGCCTTGTTATTAAAGGCTGTGGATTTGCATCTCCTTATCACCGGTTGGATCTGGACCCCTCTCCTTCTGATTGCCCCTCTTTTGTGCTTACTGGAAGAACCTAGAGATCTGCAGAAATGCCTTTACTGACCTGTGACAGACACCGCTGGATAAGAGCGATTAAGCCCCAGGGCAGCGACAGTGGCACGTGGGGCAAAGCAGAGAGAGGTCTTGATAATTTTAAGGGCAAAACCTGCTCTTGCTGTTGTAGTCACTTCTCCAGGGAGATGAAATCACAACTTCTGGACTGAAGACTGAAAGAAATAAGCAACTTCCCTCTGTTCCTTCCTGCTGCTTTTATTTCAGAATTGTGTGCATCCTGCTATAATGCATGTTAATGTGTGAATATTTTATGTGCCGTGTTTCACATACAAATATGCCCTTCTTACAGCTAACTGGATGTGACCTAAGTATTATGTATATTTACTTAATAAGACCCCTTACTGGGAAGGAACTGCAACAAACATGAGACAAAACAAACAACAGGCTTATAACCTGAACAGCTGTGTGATTGTGGCTTGCAGAAAAGTGATTTTTGTGCTACGAATATTGAAGTTGTCCCACTTGTGACCTACTTCCAAACCCTTACTTGTCTTTCAATATATACCTTTCCACTTCGTCTTAACTCAGCCATTAAATCTTTTTTCTTTGTGGATGTGATGCCTCCTAAGTGGTGGGGCAAGGTTTCTCTGCCATCCTCCTGGCTCGGAACATCTGCTGCTCCTTCAGGTGCAAGAACCCATTCTCTGCGCCTTTGTAACGGTGCTGCCTACGAGTGCAGCCATTGGGAGGCACAGATTGCTCAGCCATTTGCAAGTTAATAATTCAGCATGACTTTTTGGTAGCAGTTATGAAAGATGTTAAAATATTGAGCATGCTGGGGACTGATGTCTCTTTCCTTGTGATGGGCATAGCATAGGATGCCGCCACGAACACGTGGAAGATGAGAGTTATTCAAAGCACCCTCCTTACTCAACAACACTAGTTAAGATTTCTGTCTAATAACTGTCCTGATTTGGGGTGTCTGTATAACATATTCAGGTTATACCGTTGGTTCATAATATTTGATTTAGTGGCAGACTGAGCTGTAAGTTTTCTTGCTGAACATCCGTAGAGGAACAGGTATGAGGAGTACCCATTTAGGAACACGATACATCTCAACTTTGCCTCTTTTTTTGAGCTGGTGCCTCAGCGTGGAACCAGGGAAAACAGACATATAAGGTCGTTTGCGGTAACGATTTGCTCATTGCCTTCTGAGGTCAGCCTCTTCTAGGAGGTACCTGCTGGATGAGAAAGGCAACTGTGCACCAGCTAACACAGATACCCGTTCACTGTTCAGTTGCCTAATTTAGGCTTGGTGTACCTTATGGAGCTGGATACTCCTGCTGGAATGGAAGAAATGGAAGAAGACAAATCAAATATAAAACATAGTTTGGAAAATGATTTGGAAATAGGTGTTACTCCAAACGTGTAGGTGAAACCCTACCAGTAAACATGATAATAGCGGTGTGGAGATGTTTGGATCTGCCCTGATACTTCTCAGAAGTTTCTAGCAGGTCTCAGAACAGCTAGCCAAAAAAACCCACACCACTTGCTCTCTATTTTGGCAACAAAATTCGACAGGTGACAGATATTGTTCCTCCACTCTTGGTCCCCAGTCATTAGTGGCTTTTTTTACCTGTGTCCTTATTCATGAAAATACTTTTCCCCCAAGTATTTCTGAGAAATGCTTCTTCAAACTGTTTTCGGTCTTGAAGGAGTTGATATTGCCAGTTACACCAGACTCATCGGTATGCCCTGGGATCTTGCAGTCAGCTGTCAGGACTACCCTTGCCCTGTCTGGTCATTATAACCACCTACACTAAACACAGCTCTTAACCCCCTCTAATGTTGCCCACCCCGAGAATTCAGTGTCCCGTTTGCAGTTCCATAATCAAGTTGTCAAATAGTGTCGTGGTCTTCTGGATGATCTGCTTAAGGTGTAAAATCCCATCTTGGCCCCTTTCTGTTTGTTTAGAGTCAGAGCCCTGCAGCTGCAGTTCGATAGGAGATGGGTGACCACACAGTAAACAGTGCCAAACAATACTCTTGATAAATGACTTGTACATACTTGGAAAGCAAATGCTCTGGCTATTTCAGTCGGTTTCTCTCTGGAGAAAGAGCCCTCAGAAATTAAATTTTCAGTTAATAGATTCCATTTTTTGTTTGTTTGTTTTGTATCTTCCCAGATTCACTGCCTGCTCCATAATGCTCTTAAATCTATATTATAGCCTTAAATTCAGAATCTGAGTATTTAAAAGGAAAAAAAAAAAAGTCTTGGAAAAAATGTTGAAAAGCTGGAATTATTTTAATAAGCATGTGTTTCTTTAGATTCATATATCCCAGCTCTAAATCTCTGAATCAGGCTGAATAACTGGAAGGATTTTATTTCTGGGAAGATGGATAGGACAGTTTTGTTGATAGCTGCACAGCAAGGGGATAACTTCTCATCAGGCGTTTTCAGATCTGGAAAACGCTGTCTCATTCCCTGCCCGCTGCCGATGCGCACACAGGCCTGTGCAGCAGCTCCGGGAAAGGGGAGCGAGGGGCGAGGAGTGTCAGGAGGGGGGCTGCTGGGCTAGGAAGGATTCCTTTCGGTGGTCTGTCCTTCAGAGGAGGACGACGAATTCTTGTGGACTATATTTTTATTGGTTTGCTCAAAAGCTATCAATGGTATTCAACGGCAGAGATCAGTCACGAAAGACTGCTGAGTGCTGTACTGGCAGCACTCTGCTCGCCGTATGTGTGCCTTAAAAACGGCTCGTCCATCAGCCTTCACGCTTTTCATTCCCTGGCAGAGGAAATTACTCATTAACTATGCAAACGTACATGCAGGGATTCAAGTCCTAAACTGTTTGCCAAGAGGATGTCAGACAGAACGGCTTGTTTTCGTTAGGGCATGAAAAAATGAATGCTCTGAGACAGTTCTCCTTTCGGCATTCTGAAGTTTTCATAACTGGAGAGACAGAGAGGGAGGATTTCTGTTTACATAGAGCAAGGTCTGATCCTGTTAATGTTAATATTATTCTCCATACAAAAACTTCCTGAACAAAGGATATTTACCAGCCACAAAAGCAGTCTGTCTTTCCTTTCCTTACCTGTCTTTCAAACACCGTGCACCATTTAAATACTTCAGTAGAATATGACCAAATCCCACTCCTTTCATCCAGCAAGATGCCTTTGTCGGCTGGTAGTCTCCAGCGTAAGTTCATCGTTAAAGGACGAGGTTAAGGTTTAGTTGCAATTGGGAAAATTAAAGAGGGAAGAGACACAAATGAAGTAAAATCCTGTTTTAAATCTGTTTAAAATCCTGTTTTAATCTGTTTAATCCTGTTTTAATCTGTTGCAGACACAGAGAAAAGTCAGGCACTAGAGGACAGGGAATCTTGATTTCTGCTTTGCATTGTTTTCTTTCCCTTGTGTCTGCACTTTGGGAATAGGTAGAGTTGAGTTAGACTTGTCTTGCCCATATTCCAGAATTACTGGCAGGCACTGCACAGGCCTGCTTCCAGATGTTAGCCACCAACACCTGGAGAGAGGTTTTAGGCACGTGGGAGGTGGGGAACTGCACCTTTCATAAACTCTCCAGAAACTACGGTGTTATGCAGCAAGGGACTCGATGAACAAACCCGAGCAGACAGAATTCAGACTTTAAATGAACAACGGTTGGATGGTTTGTCATTGCACAAATCAAGACGAGACTTTCTTTTGGTATTATGCAGATCAGCTAAATGTTTGTGAAATACAAATTTGTTTACAATGTGATATGAATGAAACTCGAT